GGAAGTACAAACAGTCTTAAAGAGTCATCAGCTCAGAGGACTGTGACAGTCGAGATTGAGAACAAGAAAGAAGTGAGACAGAGAAGCACGATGGATGAGCTCAGATGGAGTAAAATGTTTTTATGTCTGATATCAATGATTCAGATTGCAGGTAAGAATACAGGAAACATTTTAATAGCAAAATTAAATATTACAATCCAAACCTTTATCATAAACCTTTGTCTAAAATGATCTTGACTGTGAAAAGTGTTGTATTCTAATCTAGTTTTCATATTTCTTTTCAGAATTCTCAACAGTATCTGTAAGTGAAACCACCATTTTTATGAAAGTTGGAGATGACGTCATTCTGCCTTGTATAAATGTGATAGATGACCAGAATAACTGTGATGGGACTGCGTGGACCTTTGCTTCAAGAAACAGAACACCAATAGAAGTGATCAGCTTTGGACAGCTTGGTGAAAAAGCCAAAAATGCATCAGACAGACTGAGTGTTACAGCAAACTGTTCTCTGCTTATAAAGACTCTCACAGTCGAGGATGTGGGTTTTTACTACTGTAAACAATACAGATACCTTCAAAAGCACAGACACAAACGTCTGGTTAGCGAGTCTTTGGTTGATCTCTCTGTACTCACCTGTGAGTATTTTACATTATATTTTCAGGCGAACGATTTTTAGAACAATAATGACAGCAGTAATTAATTTTTCGAATTTGTGGTGTCTTTGTTTCATGTTATCTCCATCAGTGACTGAACATGAGGACAATGATAAGGTGACAATAAATTGCTCTGTGGTGACATATGAAATGTGTCATCACACAGTGAGGTGCCTCTTTAAAGGTCGAGCTGTGGACAGAGATAACAGTCAAATAGTGACTTTACAGACTGGCTGCTCCACCACTGTCTCTTTACTCAAGTCTCGCCATGCTTACTCATCAAGAGATTACCTTTTGGACTGCGAAGTGAATGATACTAATACAGAAGGGAAACTGTTTACCTTCAGCCCTCGGCTATCAGGTGAGAAGACAGGAGACAAAATAATCAACTGTTTAAGATGATTAAACCCACCCAAAACATTTATTTGTTTGTTTTTGTATTTATGCAGTTTTTTTTTTAACAACAGATGAAAACCATGAAAACATGTTGGTTGTGTCTTTTTCATTTTATTTCAGGTGACAGACAAAGGACAAATAATCCAACCAGAAAAAATCCAGCAGGCTACAGTCAGTCCAATACCCAAGGTATTTATTCAGTAATGTACTTTTTACTTGCATGCATGGGTATACAGTCACATGAAAAAGAACGTTTTCACAGAGCTCGATTCAGTCCTGTGAAAACTGCACAAACCCCATGATGCAATATCTTACAGAGTCAACTATCGCAGCATTAACTTGAAGTAATAGTCTTCTATGACTATATCAGCCTATCATAATAGAAGAAGTTTTCTCCTGGTAGCCCTTCCAAAGAAACCATTCTTGCTCAGTCTTTTTGACTTTTTGATATGACTTTGGTGGAATTAGACCAATGCTGGTAAGGTTGTTGCTTTATGTTAACACCTACCCGAGAGCTTCAGACCTGTAAACTGTCAAAGTTTCTTCTTTTATAGAAATGCCCACTCTTGATGATCAGTTAAGTCCATTTGATTAGCAGCATCTGACTCCAAGTTGCTCTCTTAATTCCTATGGAACGATTAAGGATGTACTTAGTTTGTGCTTAGGACTTTATGTGTGATGTATTTATTTCATTTTTATTTTACATGTTTTAAGGTATGTGTTCAAACTGATTTAAATAAAAGAAATAGCCAAATACCTTCAGAAACAACATGTGTCTGTAAGTAAAATAACGTGTCTGAACTAAAATCTCCTTACTGTTTTTCTTCCATACATCTGAAACGCAGTGACTATGATTCACATTGTGCTTTTGTGTGTTTCTGTTTTTGCTATAGTAACAGTGTCACAGTTTAAAATAGAACACAATGTTAGGCATATTTTGTGTGTCATGTAGACTTAGTTTAAGATACATAGAAAGTTTTTTAAATGTTTGGAAAAAGATTAACTGAAAATGGTTTAAAGTTTGGGGTTTTTTTGTTTGTTTTTCCAGCTATCCATTGGTACGTCATTGCAGCTGTGGGTTTTGTCTTGCTCTTGATAACAGCTGCATCTGTTATCAGATGGAGAAAAACAAAAGGTAAAAACATCAAAATTTAAAACACGTGCTTTTAACAGTAAATGTTACAGTTAATTGTTTTTGTCTTTCCAGCGAACAAAACACAGATGGATGAAGATACTGTGAGTTAAAAAACAAACAAACAACATATATATATATATATATATATATTTAAATGGTTGTAGGAAATAAGAATAACAAATAAACACCAAATCAGCTCATCTCTGAGGAGTGGTAACAAGATCTAAACTGTCTTTTCCAACAGATGTCTACTTTCTATTTGTCTATTTTTCAGGGACTGAGTTTGAACTCTACAGAGACTCAGACTGCTACTTAAAAAAGTCCCAGCATGGGAAATCCCACACCACACCCACAGTACAGTCAGAGCACAGTTAAAACCACTTCTTCTTCTATGTGCTTGTTAAGTGCATGCGACTCAATGAGATCTTATAAAAGATAAGGAAGTTAGACTGAATAACAGTGGGACAGACAATGAGTTGTAAAACCTGAGGTTAGAGGTCAAAACATGTAAACTTTTTGAGATATTTTGCTCTTTGCTGTGTAGGTAGATCATCAAGTTTCCTATGCCACCGTCAGCTACAGAAAGAAAACCAAGAATAAAGTCCAGGTAAAGTGTCTTTCATAGATGCTTATGTTGTATACTGATATATTAATAAGTAATGTGTGCAAGCTGAGATTACAATTCATACTTACCTTTAAAATTTGTTGAGCTCTCTCTTTTATTTTAACAGAGTGTTAATTTATGTTTATTTATGTATCCGACAATTCTCTTGGTTTTCAGGTTCAGGGGGATGATGAAGGTGATGCAGTGATCTACAGTGTTTTGATGGTTTCTTCATCTCCTGCAGCCACTGTCAACCCCAGTAACCCACAATAAAAAAGAAAATAGAGAAAATGGCAAAAGGAATTGACCTTTTAAAAAAAAAGAAAAAAGTAAATGGATGTGTGATTAGAGACTTCATGCTGTTGAATGGCAAGCATAAAACTATTATAGCAAATGCTGGGAGTCAGTCGAGAATCAAGGCCATCCTTGAGTCATTCCTACTATTCAGTGTCATTTCGAGATAGTAACATTGCAAAAATAATGTTATAATGTGATCTGAAAGAATGTTTGTTAAACCTTTAGAGAAATATACCGGTCTAGCTCATAATATTAATACATTTTTCCAGGTTTTCCACATGTGATGCAGGCCAAACATCCCACCTGTTACAGTACAATCTTATCTCTGTTACTGCGTTATTAATGTACAGTCACTTTTCTATTTACATTTCCTAAGAGCTAAAATGTCCCTGTGTTTACTCTGCAAATGTATTTCAGGGGAGCGCTAATAAAAAAGTATTATCAAGAAAAGGCACAATTATTTTGAAGCATGGTGTAATTTCACTTAATGTCTATTAGATTAAAAAGGAATTTTAATGAAAACTTGTCCAATTTTGCAATTATTCCATTTGTCAAATTTATTACCTTCAATAACCACACAGATGTTTATCTTGTGTTTTTTTAATTACTTAATTTTGAAAAAACAAACACAGGTAACAGGTAGACAGAACATCACAGGGTGACTTCACACCCATGAAAGCTTGTACCCTGTACATTTTCAAGAATGGCTCGTTATTTTTGGTGTAAGACATTTGAGGAGAAATTATTTCTTCACTGTCCATCTCCAAACCACAATTTGAACGTATACAGAGAGAATCATAATGCACAAAAGACAGTACGATTTGTTGTTGGTGCATTTTTTACGCAGACGACATAGAGATGAGATTAAAGAGAGCAAAAAAGAAATGATATGAAACGTTTGTGCTGCAAAAATGTTAGCTTGTGCCGCTGTCATTTTAAAGGTAATAATAAAAATACGTTTCTAGGGGCCATCAGAGGTCACTCTGGATCACCAACGTCCAACAGTTTTGCTGCCTCTGATTCTCTCCACACATGGGCTGCAGTCTGCCTTCACAAAGTTCATTTGTTACGTGTGCCCACAGATTTCCGAACATGGCTATCTTAGGAAAACCAGCGTGCATGGATTCATCCATATTTGCCATGACACACTTCAGTACAGCAGTGAATTTCAGGTTCTGGTTCAGGCCACAACACGTTTTACAAAAGCCTCTAATTTTTATGAAACAAGATACAGTTGTGGGATTCACGTTGGCTCGTTTAGAAATGTGCATGTACTTTTAACCTGTTTCCAGATTCCCTGGTTTACTACATGAGTCAATCTACCTGGCTTCAAAATGATGTAGTCCCTTTTTTGTGAAAAAATTCTTTT